CAGCACTTTGGGAGGCCGAGGTGAGAGGATTGCCTGAGCCTGCGGGTTTGAGACCAGCCCAGGCAACATGGTGAGACCTCCTTTCTACAGTAAATCAAAAAATTAGAGGGCGTGGTGGCGTGTGTTGCTACTTGGAAGGCTGAGGTGGAAGGATCACCTGAGCCCAGCAGGTTGAAGCTGCGGTGGCCGAGAGCATGCCACTGCACTCCAGCCTGGGCGACAGAGTAAGACTCTGACTCCAAAATAAATAAATAAATAAAAATAAAGAGAAAATACTCTGGAAGTCTGGCTCACATCTGTAGTCCCAGGTACTCAGGAGGCTGAGGCAGGAGGGTTGCTTGAGGCCAGGAGTTCAAAGCTGCTGTGAGTTATGTCTGCACCACTGCACTTCAGCCTGGGCCACAAAGACCCTGTCTCAAAAAAAAAAAAAGTGACTTTTTACTTTTGGGCATGAATCTTCCTCTTTCCCTCTCTTCTTCTTGCTAATAAACTTTGTTTTAAAACTAAAAAAAAAGTGACTTTTAGCCTGGGTGCAGTGGCTCCCATCTGTAATCCTAGTGCCCTGAGAGGCCAAGGCAGGAAGATTGCTTGAGGCCAGGAGTTCATGACCAGCTTGGGCATCATAGCTGCAAAAATAAAAACATTAGCCAGGCATGGTAGGCATGCCTGTAGTCCCAGCTACTAGGGAGGCTGAGGCAGGGGGAGTACTTTGAATCCAGGAGTTTGAGGTTGTAGTGAACTATGATCACACCATCGCACTCCAGCCTAGGCGAAAAAATGAGACCCTGTCCCTTTAAAAAAAATACAAAACTTTTAAAATAAACTTTTTATTTTAGGACAATTTAAAAATTTACAGAAAAGCTGCAGAGATAGTACAGAGAGTTCTCATGCCTCCCACCCAGTTTTCTCTATTGTGAACATCTTACATTACCATGTGCATTCATTTCTAGATCTGACATAACAATGTACCACAAACTGAGTGGCTTAAAATGACAGAAATGTAGGAAGGCCAGGCACAGTGGCTCATGCCTATAATCCTAGCACTTTGGGAGGCTGAGGCAAGAGGACTACTTGAGCCCAGGAGTCGAGACCAACCTGAGCAACATAGCAAGTCCTTGGGTTTAAAAAAAAAAAAAGCCGGACGCGGTGGCTCATGTCCATAATCCCAGTACTTTGGAAGGCCAAGGTGAGAGGATTGCTTGAGCCCATTGGTTCAAGACCAGCCCGGGCAACTTGGCGAGATCTCATCTCTACAATAATTCAAAAAATTAGCTGGGTGTGGTGGCACGTGCTTATAGTTCCAGCTACTTGGAAGGCTGAGGGGGAAGGATCGCCTGAGTCCAGCAGGTCGAGGCCGCAGTGGCCGTGAGCGTGCACTGCACTCCAGTCTGGAGTGAGTCGGAGTGAGACTCCGACTCAGAATAAATAAATAAATAAACAAACAAATAAATAGCTAGTCAGGCGTGGTGGCACATGCCTGTAGTCCCAGCTACTCAGGGGCTGAGGCAGAAGGAACACCTGAGCCCAGAAGTTCAAGGCCGTGGTGAGCCACGATCATGCCACTGCACTCTAGCCTGGATGATAGAGTGAGACCCTGATTTTAAAAAATGACAGAAGCTGGGCTCGGTGGCTCAGCCTGTAATCCCGCGCCTTTGGGAGGCTGAGTTGAGTGGATTGCCTGAGCCCGCGGGTTCGGGACCCGTCTGGGCAACTTGGCGAGACCTCATCTCTACCGGGCGTGGAAGCGCATGCCTGTAATTCTGGCTACTTGGAAGGCTGAGGCGGAAGGATTGCCGGAGCCCAGCAGGTCGAGGCTGCGGTGGCCGGAAGCGGCCACTGCACTCCAGTCTGGGCGACAGAGTGAGACTCCAACTCAAAAAACAAAAACAAAAACAAAAACAAATGACAGAAATGTACCCCCCAGGACCACACTGGGAGGAAGGAAGGAGGATGTCGGGTGGAAGTTCCCCAGTGGGCCCAACCACCAGGGGACTGCCAGTAGCTAATGGGCTTAGACCTGGGTTTCCCCAATTCAAGGTCAGGGGTTGGGTCCACCTTAGACCTCATGCCTCTCCCCGGGCTGGAGCAGGGCAGGGGCCCAGGTAACCCATGTGGCCCCGCTCTCAATGCAGCGGGCCCACTGTCTGAACAGACAGCTGAGCTGATGCTGCAGTGTGCTGAGAGGCGTCTCCAGGAGGACAGGTCCAGGAAAGAGCTGGTGGAGCAGGTGATGGAGGGACAGAAGAACGTCAAGGTGGCTCAGACGAAGCTTGTGAAAGGCCGACGGCAGATAGGTACAGGGGAGGGCGGTGCCACGGGCCCTGCCCAGCTCCCTGTTCCTGGGCTGCCACCCTTCTCTGAGAGAGCTACTATGGTCCGTGAGGGCCGGTGCCCCTTGAAGGAGGGCCAGGGCTGGGCAGGCTGCCCTCCAGGTAGTCGAATCGAGGCCAGACGCCTAGCCAGGGAACTCCGGGGGGGAGGTGCACCCCTGCCCAGCGCCTGCCAGACCACTCACCAGCCACCAGCTACCAGCACCTTGCTTGGCCCTCAAGTTCAGGAGGTGATAGAGGAGAGCCGGGAGCTGCTGCAACGCAGCGCTGAGGCCACCAAGGAGGAACAGAGGCGGCGCTGTGAACTTGTCTCCCAGCTGCGCGCACTGGAGGCCCTGCCCACGCGCAAGGGCAAGCTTGTGGACCTGACCCAGGTGAGGATGCAGCCTTGGATCCCACACCCTCAGGGAGCCTGGTGTGCACTGCCAAGCTGGCACTGCCATAGAGGACACGTCTAGAATTCCTGCCAAGGCCACATGTGGTTCTTCCCCTCCTGAGGTCACCAGCATGCTGGCCACTTGTTACTTGCCACCAGCGTGGACTCAGCACCCACGTGCTACAGGCCAGAGTTCACAGTCCTGCCCGTAGGGCAGATACTGAGCTGTCCTCAGTAACCCCTGGGGGTGGGCAAGGTAGGCTTCGTGGAGGAAGCTGCTTGGGAACTGCTTGTTGAGGCCCAAGTGAGGAGGGGTGGTACCGGGAGAGTGTGGGTGTTCAAAGGTCTGAGGTGAGATAGAGGAGGAGACTGAGGAGGGCCTCTGGAAGCCTTTGTGAGGAGGCCTGGAAAGGGGCCAGGCTGACGGCTGGTGGGCAGATCTGGGAGGGCCTTAGGAAGCTGCTGCAGGGCCTGGTCTGGCCCTAAGGGGTCCCACAGGAGGTGCAGTGCTGCAAAGCTGGGCCCAGGCTAGAGAGGCTGGGAGGAGGAGCACGTTACAGGCAGTATGGAACCAGAAAGGAAGGTAAGAGGACAGGCCTGTGGGTACGAGAGGGGCACCTGTGCTCCCCACCTGGGCCCAGCACAGCGCCTAGCTTGAGGCCTCTCTGCCACCCTGTAGATTCCCGGCTATGGCCTGGAAGGAGAGATGTCCGTCGTGGAGCTGCGTGAGCGGCTGGCCCTGCTCAAAGAGACCCAGCAGCGCGAGGAGGAGGAAAAGCGGGATCAAATCATCCAGGGCAAACGTGCCAAGAGCCAGGAGCTGCAGAACACGGTGGAGCAGATCTCTCTGTGCCGTGCAGCCATGGGGAGATCCGCGGCCCTAAGGTCGGTTTCAGGCCGAGGGAGGGTAGCTCTGTAGGCAAGGAGTAGCAGCCTTGCCTTTGCACCTTCCTGGGTGGGTTTCCTTGCAACGACCCACCACCCTCCTGCCCCTGCAGTTCTATTGCAGTTGCTCCCCACCCCTACTATTGTATTGATGATTGGCAGGCATACAGAAATGGTGGGAAAATCACATGGCAATGGCTTAGATGCTCATGACCTAGGTGTCATTTGGCACCTAGGTCACGGATACCACCTTTTGCCGTATGTGTGTCATCAAGCAAGCCGGCTATTTATCTATGTGCAGAAGCATATTTGGCAATAGTTGCAGATATCAGACACTTCACTTTTTGTGTGTGTGTGTGTTGGAGTCTCACTCCGTCGCCTAGACTGGAGTGCAGTGGCCGCTTTCGGCCACTGCAGCCTCGACCTACTGGGCTCC